GGACGGGGATTGAAAGAGGGAGGCGAGAGAGGAGAGGTGTTCCAGGCAGAAGCAGGCGGGGGTGAGCTGTGGGCAGGGGACAGCAAGGGGAGAGCCCGCACGTGGAGGCCACAGGAAGTGAGAGGGTGGTGAGGCTGGGAAATCGATCTGGGTAGGACCTTTGTGGATGGGTCGGTCTGCTAGACCCTGAGCACCCTGCTTCAGAGCAGCTTGAGGCTACTTAACATAATGGCAGGGGAGGAGGATCAGGGGCCTCGACCCCCCAGCACTCACCTCACTTCTAACTTCAGTCCTGTATGTCTATTCCTTCATCTCTTCTCTTCATCTGACAAACATTCAGTAACTCCCACCAAGAGCCAGCCATGTTTGACTTGGGAGAAAAGATCAGGGGGTGGCGGGGGCAGAAGAGGAAGAGGAAACATTTAATCAAATAAGGGTCCTGCCCTCCATAAACGTAGGGCTGGAGGGAGAACACACGTACACACACACACACACACACACACACACACACACACCTGCAACCCAAATGAGCACTAAACGCCTCATGGGACTGTGGCTCAGCGGAAGTTTTGTGTTAGAGGAAGAACTGGAGCTAGCACTCAAAGGATGGGGGGAATCTGGACCTGTGAAATGTGGGGGAAGGGCTGTCCGGGATGAAGTGACCGGGCGAGAAGAGGGGATGCAGTGAAAGTGGGGCTGGGGGTTATGCAGACAAGAGCAAGGAACTCAGTTCTATGCGTGTTTTCAAGGAGGAGTGTTATTGGCATTACGTTTGGGACAATTCTTTGTTGCATGAGTCTGTCCCACACAAAGCAGGTCTCATAACATCCCCGCCACCTCTGCTTCCCATCACCTAATGCCAGTAGCCGCTGCCCCTTTCCACCTGCATTTTTTAATTTTTTTTGCGGTACGCGGGCCTCTCACTGTTGTGGCCTCTCCCGTTGCGGAGCACAGGCTCCGGACGCACAGGCTCAGCGGCCATGGCTCACGGGCCCAGCCGCTCCGCGGCACGTGGGATCTTCCCGGACCGGGGCACGAACCCGTGTCCCCTGCATCGGCAGGCGGACTCTCAACCACTGCGCCACCAGGGAAGCCCCTCCACCTGCATTTTTAGACAACACTCCCCACCCCATGGGAGCCACCAGGTAGGTATGTGAAGGCAAGCAGTAGAGTATAAAGTTGGACTAGAAAGGTAGCGAGCAGAGGGCCTCGAATGCCAGGACAAGGCATTTGCACTTTATTAACCAAGGGAGGAGTGGCTGCTGAAGATTTTTCAGGAGGAAGGGGATGAGATCTGCTTCAGAAAAATTAAGTTTGGAGCAGTGTGCAGGACGGACAGGAGGCCTAGGAAAGGTGGGGACATCAATTCCAGTCTCCTGCGACTGTCTCACCCAGGTTAGTTTCAGTCAAGGTGGGCTACTTTGCCCACAGTATTGGCAGAGGGCAAAGGTTGAGGGGAGGGCCTAACTGCTCTCCCCCTAATGATTGCTGGACCACCAGGTGATTAGAATAGCATCTGCTACACGTCAGACTTTGACAATATTCCATTGTCTCTCCCTGTCTTTCAAATCGACCTACCTCGGGATGACACAGCTCCTCCCCCTTCAGTCCACACCGGCAGAACTTGTGTAAAATGCGGCAGTAAGGAAAAATGGTGAGACTTCGAGGGTCCCACCCCGCCCCCGCCCTCCATCCAGGGCCCATTGCCTTCCTGGTCCGGGACCCTCAGAGCCTGAACAAGGGAACTATTCAGCCTGACCAAAGGAGAGACACTCCCTTCTTGGCCCCCTCCCTGGCCAGGACAGGACACGGCTTTTGATCCAGGGCCCAGAGAATCCGGAGCTGATAAAAGCCAATTGTGGCAGTTTCTGGAGAAACCCAGAGGCCATCGGGGGGACTTTGGGGCTAAGCAGCCAGTTAACAGCCCTTGAACATTTGTGAAAAGAATTACTTGGCGGAAGTCAAGGCAGAATGAGGCCCCTGGTCTGCCACTGGCACTGTCTGTGGCAGGGAGGCTACAGGCAAAACCAGCAGGAACTGGCCGGCCTGACGCCGAGGGGCTGACCTGGAGGCAGAAGGAACCCAGAAGCTGGGGACGGCTCCCCTCACACACCTGGGTGGGAAACCCAATCTCCTGCCATATGCAAGAAACAAACTGCTCTTTTAAAAAGGGCCTGGGGAAGAGAGGAGCCTCCTGCCCCGCCCCCCAAGGGTGTCCAGAGCAATAAACAGCAGGAGAGGAGGAAGGCCGCTGAGTGGAAGCCAGTCTGGAATCTATTTAGCAGTCACGCTTTTTCTGCTCCGGTCTTTCACGCGTTTTGTGAGTCCAGGCACCTCACCGCTCGCAGGTCTCACTACTCTTACAGCACAAAACACAAGTGGGAAGAGCTAACCTGAGATAACTGATGCCAGGGAGGTGGTGAGGAGATGGGCTAGATGAGGCTCGTCCAGCATCAAACAGAACAGGTGGGAAAGGACGAGATCCCTGGGGAGAGCGCCTGGGAGGGGAGCGCGGTGCGGCGCTGGGAGAACTCAGTCCCCAGCCCACCCTAAATCTGGGCACCCGTCCCATTTCCCAGCTGACAGCTGGCCCTATCACTCTGGGAGAGGAAATGCAGAATCCAGGTCAGAGACCAGCCTGCAGAGTCCTCTTAAGAGACCATCTGGGCTTCCCTGGTGGCACAGTGGTTGAGAGTCCGCCTGCCGATGCAGGGGACACGGGTTCGTGCCCCGGTCCGGGAAGATCCCACATGCCGCAGAGCGGCTGGGCCCGTGAGCCATGGCCGCTGAGCCTGCGCGTCCGGAGCCTGTGCTCCGCAACGGGAGAGGCCACAACAGTGAGAGGCCCGCGTACCGCATAAAAAATTAAAATAAAATAAAAAGAGACCATTCTCCTTGGCCAGGTGGTGAGCTGGGGATTAAACTGAGAGCAGAGGTTAAAGCAGTCAATATGAGTGCTCACTGCACGTTATTTCCATTTTATTCCTAAAAGGACTGAGATGGGTGACTGGCTCGGCCCATTTCTCAATTGTAGGTCCGCTTTCCCTCCCCACCATAAACCTGGCCCCCCTTCAAAGGCCAAGGCCTTTCTTCATCAAAGCAAAGCGGAATAAGCAATACAAGCCCACAAGAGGCAGGGCACCCGAAGCCATCTCATGTATATCAAAGTCTAACCAGCGTGCACCGAGGGCTTGGCACACATGTATTTTGTCAACCCCTCATTTAGGGGGTGGGCCTACAACTTTCCAGTTGGCCCCAAAAGCCACGGGGGAAGTCAATGAATCTCCACCACCCCTCACTTCTTAAGAACCCACATAACAACAAACCTCACTTGACACCACTGATTCATTTCAAGCTGGGATGGATCTGGAACACGGCACAAAGTGTTTTCTGAAACCAAAGCATTTTCTGCCCTGCTGGAGGTTCTGTCCTAGCTGGCGATACAAACGTGCACACAAAAACTGCTAGAATGCTTCTGATCCCTGAGTGCTCACTGCACGTTATTTCCATTTTATTCCTAAAAGGACTGAGATGGGTGACTGGCTCGGCCCATTTCTCAATTGTAGGTCCGCTTTCCCTCCCCACCATAAACCTGGCCCCCCTTCAAAGGCCAAGGCCTTTCTTCATCAAAGCAAAGCGGAATAAGCAATACAAGCCCACAAGAGGCAGGGCACCCGAAGCCATCTCATGTATATCAAAGTCTAACCAGCGTGCACCGAGGGCTTGGCACACATGTATTTTGTCAACCCCTCATTTAGGGGGTGGGCCTACAACTTTCCAGTTGGCCCCAAAAGCCACGGGGGAAGTCAATGAATCTCCACCACCCCTCACTTCTTAAGAACCCACATAACAACAAACCTCACTTGACACCACTGATTCATTTCAAGCTGGGATGGATCTGGAACACGGCACAAAGTGTTTTCTGAAACCAAAGCATTTTCTGCCCTGCTGGAGGTTCTGTCCTAGCTGGCGATACAAACGTGCACACAAAAACTGCTAGAATGCTCTGTTCTGATCCCACGGTTCCCACACACACACACACACACACACAAAAACCCTCAAGACTGAGCTGGAAGGTCTGGGTGTCATTTATTGATAGCAGTTTACACACATTTGTTTTCTTCCCGTGGTTGTTTCCTTCAAGGCACAGGCACAGAGCCCTCTAGAAAGGGCAGTCTCTGAACAAGGGAAGCCAGGAACTCAGGATGCACGCGGCTCTGGCAGGCCTGTGTAGCCCCCACCGGATGCAATCCTTCAAGCTGGAAATCCGCCGGCTATTTGAGACACCAAGGTGGGAGCTGGAGAGGAAGGCCAGAGGACTCACATCTTGGCCCAGGCCTGCTCTCTCATTATCCAAGTCCATTCCAGTTTTAGGACCCTGGGGTGGGGGTAGGGCAGCAAATCAGCCCACCCACCTTCACAGGGGCAGATTCTTCAATCCGTGCTGCCGCTGGCCCCGCAGTTAAAGAGAATCGGCCTGTGGTAGGAGACAGATCGCTTCCTCTCTGACCCTCCCCAGCACCTCTCTTCAGCTGGGTATGTGAAGGAACCACTGGAAAAAACCGAGGCCTGTGTTCGTTGTTGCTCAGCTGCGCATGCCGTCTTCCTCAAATCACGAATAAAAGATAGGCTGGAGGCTACCAGTTTACTCAGGCCGCCCACTGACTCCCAGCTCATCACACACACGGGCCTGCCTGTCTTCTGCCAACTGCCAGTGCCTAGGCTGGAGTGCGAGCAGGCCCCAAAGACGGGAGCCCAGCTGGTCTGTGTAGGCACTTGGCAACTCTGGGTAGGGAGGTGGCTAAAAAAAGGGGATGGAAATGAGAAGAGTGAAAGAGCTTCACCTGATCAAGTAATTAGAGATCCGAAGTGATTTTACTTTTATTTCCTTCACTTTAAGCCAATCATGAAGTTTCACAGTGATTTCTGGGGCGGGAGAAGGAAGGTGGTGGTGAGCATCATGGGGGCTGTGGTCCAGATGGCCCCAGGAGGTGCGGGTCTCACTGGGGCAGCTGAAGGAGCACCGACTGCCCAGTGGGCAGGTAGGTGATGTTCCGGGAGCGCGACAGCTGGTACGCGATGTCCTCCGCCGCCTCCAGCTTGCGCAGCTCGATCAGGCCGTCGCCCGCAGTGGTGAGCGAGTTGGCGATCAGCTCCGCTGCCTTGGAGTCGCCCTCCGCAGAGATGATGGCTGCCTTCTTCTGCTGCTCAGCCTACGGGGGTGGAAGCACAGAGACCAAGATCACATCTTGGGGTGCTGGATGGCGGCTACAGCCTCAGAAGGACCACGTTGGGCACCCTCACCGGGTCCCGAAGGAACTCTGGGACTTTACCTCCCCCTCCAGACAGGGTCAACAAGCACTGTCCACCCAATCCTCCTCTCTCCTGTCTTGCCATTGTAGGGACACATTTCTGTTGGCTATATAAATAGCTGTCTTATTTAAAAGTCCTCAATAATATTAATAGCAACCCAATACAGCCACATACTCCAAGGCAGGAGGACCCCAGGCCAAGGAAAGCAGGAGAGAAAGAAAGATGGAATTAATCCTCATCTTTCCCTCCAGCCCCAAGTCAAAGAGACTTTCATCAAAACCAGTGCAGCTAAGTAGGAGCAGCAGGCACGAGACGCTCCCTAAAGTCACTCTTGGGCTAAACTGTTTCCTGACCAGGAACTCAGGCACACAGAACGAGGCCTCCTGGTTTCCCCTACCCTTACCAACAGGAGGACGTCTATCTGCAATGCATGACCTTCAGAAGCACGGGAGAACACAGTGTGGAGCCTGTCTGAGGTTAACAGACAGCTGTTCAACTGAGGCTCTGGGCCTGTCCACTCAACAAATGTTTATTGATACCTAGAATCTATCCCAGGCACGGTTTGGGACATGTTCTAGGTGCTGGAGAGAGGCAGAAAAAAGTGGAAAAAGAAAAAATAAGTCTCCATCCACATGGAGTTTATATTCTCTAAAGTTAAACGTCTACCCATATACCTCTCTTTTGCCTGATTCTAAGGACTAAGGTGTCCTGGATTAGGAATAAAAATCCAAGAGAATTAGTGGTGGGGAGAAGGGAATATATGAAATAAATACACCTTTGCAAAGACCAAAAGACCAGGCCCTATGCAACTATATTGCGTCCCAGCACACTCTGACACATCTGGATGGATTTAGTGCTTGAAAAAAAAATCCAGTGATGACAGTGCACCTGGTGCAACGTTTGATCCCTTTTGCTGTCAGCTTGCACTGTGTAACCACAGTTAAAAATGACCTCTCAGTGAAGCTGAAAATATTCCAGAAGAAACATTTTTATTTGTGGGAGTGTTTTTGATCTTAGGGTTGTGGAAAAAAAATTACCCTTCAGTGATTTAAAAACATAATTTCACATATCCCTGACTAGACCCCGAAGACTCTGGAACCAACTGCAGGAGCACAGTCCCTTCAATCCCCTTCCGATGATCCCGGAAGAGATGACAGATGATGAATTTCCAGGCCACCCACCAAACAGGGAGGCTGAACACAGGAGAAAGGGGAGAGAGGCAATCATCTGGTCCTGTGTAACTGCTGCATCCTTTTCCTGCTGAGCCACCTGTTTGGCTTCCACCGCTTCTGTGAACTCCTTCCCAAAGGTCAGATGTGTCTAAGGGGAGAGAGTGAGCACGAGATGAGGCAGAGTAATGGCTTCGACAGTGATGCTGCAGGGCCCGCATGGCCGCTGGAGGAAGAGGCCAAAAATGGCTCTAGCAGCTGGAGACAATGTGAAGCCAAAACGCCCTTCCACCTCCACATCCGTGCCCAAACTGAGTTCACACCCCAGAATCCTTGGCTGCCCAAAGTGCTCCTGTACCTCATTCTGGCACCCTCAGGTGGAACACAGCCCACGGGCACCAGAAGGTACCTACTCGATTGACCACCTCCCTAGGGGAGACCTGTGGGTGCCAGGACCCCCACCACTGACTAGTGCTCTTCCAAGGTCCTTTGATGGCCTGCTTGAAGCCCCCAGAGAAGCCAGATGGAAAACTGAGCCCCTGAGAGTGAGGGATGCAGCTGGTTCTCAGGGATTCAAGAGCGTGATGCTCTCTGCTTATGACTTAACCAGGCCACTGCTTTCTCACAGCATCTCCACCACTAAACAGGAAGAGGACTAGAGAGACGATTTCCAAATCATGATTTTGCAAATCATGGTTTTCCCTATGTGTGAGTGCTTCTGATAAAGGGTTTAAAAGAAAGAGAAGGCAGGTAAAGATATTGCTTCGGGTGAAGGTCTCCCTAACAACACAAGTGACCGAGACTTGGCTGAAGTGATGCACCTGTAATGACAGTGCAAACGATGGAAACAGATCTCAGCGCTACTAATGCCTAGTTTAATTTAGCTGTATTTTTTTATTAAAAGGGAAGAATAAAGGGGATAACAGCATTGGTTTTGCTACCAAATTCTACTTGTTTCATTTCCTCCACTACCCTCCCAACCTCTGCTTAAAAAAAAGAAAAGAATCAGCTCAAAACTTCTCCTGAAGAGTAAATCCCAGTCCAATGTCTTCCAGAATTTTTAACACTCCTAACTCTTAAACTGCAGCTGTTCTAGCTCGCCTGCTCCATTTCTGGACTCTTGTTCAAAGTTTGGGAAAGAAATAAAATCCTGAGCAATGAAAAAGAAATGCGTAATTAAGGAATAAAATTTCTTTCTAAAAGGACCAGCTGAGGGCAGCAAATTCCCCATGAAACCTAATTTTCTTCTCACACCTCTTAGATATGGTTTCTTGTGGTCAACCCCCATTTCCCCAGAATGGAGTATGTGGTTAAAGTCTAGCAAAACGCCAAGCTTCTCCTTAGGCTTTTACTTAGTGTGCTCTCACCACCACAGTGTTTAGTTTAACACTAAGTGGGAGAGCCTGAGGAACCACTCTGGTCCAAGGAGCCAAATGGCTGCAGCCTGGCGTCTTGCCAGTAGAGGGAGCCCACGAGCCCTTCCACGGCTGGAAGGCAGTTGCTGCAAGTGGAGCAGTGCCCTGGGGTGAGCGCAGGGTATGTAGTGTTACTGTTTTAACAGCTGCACAGATGCTGAGGGGGAAGCTGTGCCTTTCCCCAGAGACGCACAGGAGAACGGAACGGGAAACACTCTACCTCACTACCCGAACAAATCACTCCAAATGATTTTCCCCAGAGAATCAGAAACACGACCCCCTTCCCCTCACCCTCCTCGATCTGAAATGCTATCCTGCCTGTATTGCTTTCTGTCTGCATTGCGGCATTCAGTGTCATATAAATACACAGACCACAGTCTCAAGAGGCTAGCTTATGCCTCAGAGATGCCCCCTGCCTCCCATACCAGGCTTTGGGAAACAGAACCATTCATTTACACTCTATCACCTTTCATGGGGAGGTCCCAGAGCTCACCTGACTGCGCTTTAGACCCTAGGTGTTAGGAAATTCCCCGGGGTCGGGCTGGGAGCTCTGTGCTAGGGAGAAAGACTACCCCAGCTGTCCTCTAGTCTCTACCCGGCAATTTCTGCCTGTGTCAAACAGGGTTAGCAGGATATCACTTCCTGGGGAGCTCGGGGGAACATTCAGTTTGGGGAAGGTGAAAAATCTAGTGGTCAGGGCCAAAAATTAAAAGAAAAATGTCTGTGGCACAGGGGCGGTAGAAGAACCTTCTTCTGAAAACAAACCCAAGGAGACTGCCACATGCCACCAAGAAAGTTCCATGTTTTCAAGCCTTCATTGAGGAAAGTGGAAGGTAGGACCTCACAGTGTCTACCCAGATGTGGAACCAGGCACCCTCCCCTGCAGGCACCCCAAGACCCTTACCAAGGATACGTCATCCAGGATGAGCCCAAAGGTTGCTGCTCGCTCCGTGAGGTCATCGCTCACCTGTCTGGAGACCAGCTCTCTCTGGGTGATCAGTTCTCCAGCATCAAAGCGAGCCTGGTTCCAAGGGAGGGCAGAGGAGCCGGTCAGGATAATGAGGAAGCAGAGTCCCAACCAGTCACCGCCAAGCTCTTCCTGCCACCTAGCGATCTCCTGGGGGCTGGGCTCGAGGCTGAGGCCCTGTTCACTCACCACCACGGACTTGAGGATCTCGGTGGTGATGGACGGCAGCACGCGCTCGTCGTAGTCCTCTCCGATGCTGGTGAAGATGCGGGGAAGCTGGCTAGCAACCGGCCGGAAGAGGATGCGCAAGGTGATGTTGACATTCTGTAAATCTTAGGGTAGGGGAGAAGTGCTGGAGTTAAAAGTAAAAACCAAAGTGGCCTTCTATGACCTCTCCTACCCCAAATTTGCTATAATTTATAAGTAAAGTTGCCGATTATCAGATCCTAGAGGGTGAGGCGCACCTGTGCGTGGTCTCCTTGGTAGAGAACCCAGCACAGCATCAGCGTTAAAAACTTCTCCAAGGATTCTGGTGATGACAGCTTTTCAGCGTGTCCTGAATGCCCTCTGGTATAAGCAAATTCAGATTGTATGTCTAACAGTTGCCATGGATATGCCTGGAACACTGAATATTTTAAGAAAACAGATAGGCCAATGCCAAGAATTCTAGGGTAAGGCCTCTCCAAGGCCCAGTGAATGTGGCCCAAGGTAGGACTATGCCTCAGAGAGGTGACCGTGGGTCCAGCAGACTAGCAGTCTAAGGCCTGGCTGCAGCCTCAACTCTGCTGTTTACTAATTATGCGGGATCACTAAGCCTTAGCCTATCTCAGCTTATTTCCTCACATGTAAGAATGGGGATGATTTCATCTGCCTCCCAGGCATGTTGGGAGAAACCGAAGGAGGAAACAGATATAAAAGCACTCTTGTCAAATGCGCAACAGATGTAAGGGGTTATCAGACTCATCTAGAGGCCGTTTCTCATTACTTGGCCGAGTCAAAGGACCCAGGGAGGGAATTACAACTTCCCCTGACAATGCAGTCTTACTTGGAGCTAAGGCACTGTCACAGCCTGCTTGCAGTCATCAACAATATGGACCAAACGCCCATGAGATGAGTTGTGAACCAGGCACCAGAGTGGGAAATGGTTATACACCGTCCCTGATCTCTCCAAGTTCCTATCAAGTTTTGAAGATAGGTGTATAATGTATCCTTAGAACAACTGCGAAACAGTAGAGAAAGAAATTCTCAAAAGGTGGAAAGTTCAGAACTAGGCCTTTAAGTAAAAATATGATGTTTCTTGATTAACCCCACCCCACCGCTGATTTCCTCTGATGTAGTAGGCAGGCCAGACCCTTTACAGGAGGCTCCTCCTCTCTCTGGCCAGGAGCGACAGGACAGATCAGTCAACACCAACGTACCCTTTCCCCTCCTCTGCCCGACACACTTCTCATCCTAAAGTGCCAGTGCAGATGCACATTCCTCACAGGAGCTCTCTTCTCTGCTTCCGCTCCATGCTGTAGTCACCACGCCCCACTCTAATGCCTGTCCACATGGCTATCTCCCTAGCTAGACCAAGCTCCTAAAGGCTCCCGCTTTAGTCAACTTTGAACTACCCCACCCTCTGACCCAGCACAAAGCCTGGCACTATCACAGAAAGCAAACATCTGCTGAGGAACAGCAACATCCATGCAACCCTCTCCTCCTGCTGCACAGAAACGTCAGGGCCAAGACAGCATCTGCCATTCCATTTACTGGCTGTGCACCTCTATGTGTACGACGGGGGGAGAACCACGAAAGCAATTCATTTTAGGCTCCAACTGGGAAGCCAGTGGCGTGTCAGACCAGATTGCTCTCAGGGATGTGGGCCTTGGCCTGTGAGATAACAATGTGAGGGCAGCACTGCTGGAAACAGAGGCCTTGGAAAGCAAGGCAAAGGGTAAGTCAGCTGTGAAGGCAAACAGAACGGCTGGAGATCGGTTTACAGTCACCCTGGGAAACAAGAACTGATGGGAAGGGTCAACCGAGGGAGCAAAGGCACACTTAGATTTCTTTAAAATTGGATTGCTATGTAACTCTTGAAATATATCTTTGTTCATTTCTCTAAATTTGTACAACTGTGTGTGTATTTTAAGTACATAGGCATACCTCATTTTCTTGAGCTTCTAGACACTGCATGTTTTACAAATTGAAGGTTTGGGGCAACCCTGTGTCAAACAAGTCTATCGGCACCATTTTTCCAATAGCACCTGCTCACTTCGTGTCTCTGTCACATTTTGGTAATTCTTGCAATATTTCAAACTTTCCCGATATTATTATATTTGTTATGGTGATCTGATGATGGTTAGCATTGTTTAGCCATAAGGTATTTTTTAATTAAGGTATTGTATATATATTGTTTCTTTAGAGATAAAGCTATTGCACCCATAACAGGCTACAGTATGGGGTGAACTATATGCACTGGGAAACCAAAATATTCGTGTGACTCGCTTCATCACAATATGTGCTTTGTTGCGGTGGTCTGGAACCGAACCCACATCTCTGAGGTATGCCTGTATATTTCTTTCTCTGTAGCCACATAAAACTCTTCACGGAAAATATGCCAGGAATTCGTATTACGAGAAGTTCAACCCGTTCGGGATCCAAGAGCAGCCCTTCCACACTCTCTACTTTACCTGACCCACAGACAAGACTCACCTTTGCTACCAGTGATTACTGGCACGTTACGTGGTCGAGAGCGGCAGTCAAAGATAATTGGTTTCTGTACCCAAGGGATGAGGAAGTGAGTCCCTTCCCCTACGACAATGTCCTGCACTCCACGGAACCGGTCAAAGATGACAGCTCTATGCCCAGCATCCACTAGGAATGAAGGATAATGATGGGTCAGAAAAATCCCCTCACCCTTTAACCAAAAGGATCATGGTTTTGAAAGATCCCTGGTGCCTTCCATTCATTAAGTCTCACCTCTCCTGCTCTTTCTTCCTACACTTCTGGTCTCTAGAGGCCTCTAAACAGCTATAAAACTAAGCAATCATTTCCCATCCCACATGTCCTCCCAAGGACTTCGGTAATAGGATCTATTCCTCAGCATCCTTTCTCCTTGAAACAACTGGCTGCTAATTTTCTGATTAACCACCTCCCAAAACTTCTTTCTAAAACTCACCAAGGTCTTCACTGTTACCACAGTCCATCCTGGTTCCAATTTAACTCAGTGTTTCCGGAAGCAGCATCCTCCCTATGGCAATCCTAAAATTTGGAAGGCCCCACTTTTTCTTTCCAATAGATTGGTTTCTCTAAGGTTTGAAGGGGTTATAGAGCTGTCTTGCTGATTCAGAAAGACATTAGTAATGGTGATTGTTTAGCTATGCAGGGGTGGCCAAAAAGATCAGAGTATAAAGCTGTGCCATAGAAGGAGAGCAGGCTTTTCTTTCTTTCTTTTTTTTTTGCGGTACGCGGGCCTCTCACTGCTGTGGCCTCTCCCGTTGTGGAGCACAGGCTCCGGACGCGCAGGCTCAGCGGCCATGGCTCACGGGCCCAGCCGCTCCGCGGCATGTGGGATCCTCCCGGACCGGGGCACGAACCCGCGTCCCCTGCATCGGCAGGCGGACTCTCAACCACTGCGCCACCAGGGAAGCCCTCGTTTTTTTTAAAAATAAATTTATTTATTTTATTTTTGGCTGCGTTGGGTCTTCTCCGTGCGCAGGCTTTCTCTAGTTGTGGTGAGCGGGGGCTACTCTTCGTTGTGGTGCATGGGCTTCTCTTGTTGTGGAGCACAGGCTCTAGGCGCGCAGGCTTCAGTAGTTGTGGCACACGGGCTCAGTAATTGTTCACGGGCTCTAGAGCACAGGCTCAGTAGTTGTGGCACATGGGCTTAGTTGCTCCATGGCATGTGGGATCTTCCTGGGCCAGGGATCGAACCCATGTCTCCTGCATTGGCAGGCGGATTCTTAACCACTGTGCCACCAGGGCAGCCCAAGAGCAGGCTTTTCTGACCAGCTGCTTTCTGTCTCTGCCTTTTTGGACATTACAGTTGGCCCAAACACCCTCACTCTGAAAGTAATCCTCCTCTTGTCAGGGTCACACATGAGGTGGGTCGATCTACTGCTACTTTCCAACAGTGAAAGCTGGAGAAAATCAGAGGTGGAGGGGGTCTTAGACGTGAACCAGTTCAATCCTGTGGCTTGACCAATAAGAAAGCTGAGGCCTGGGGAGGGGAAAGTGACTTGCCTAAGGTCACAAAGAAAAGTGGAAAAGCCAGCTTAAACACCCAGCACACTGTTAAAAGCTGGGCAGTGCATCTCAAAGATATTTTCTCTGGAAAGACTCAACCACACCAGAGCAAAGCTCCTGCTCAGGACAAGGTCACCAAAGGGCTAAAACCCTTGCTGAGTTATTCCACACACAGGCAGAAGAGAACAAACGAGCTCTCCATTTCAGCTGGCCAGCGAAATCCTGGCACTCTGCTGCAGCATCACCTTAAATTCACAAGAGCAGGTGGAAACGTCCAACTGGGCTGGGAGGCTCTTGGTGAATAAAGGCTCTGAGAGAACCTATGGCTACAAGGACAGAAGCCCTGATGACAATGCAACCATGTGGTGCAGGATGGCAGTAGGTGAGCCCTCTTGGTCACAGACACATTCACGGACAGCGGCTGCCAACAGGGGTGTCACACAGGCTATGAAGACCAATAGAAGTCCTCTGGCAAAGGGCAGTGACCCACCACCCCTCAGTGCCTCACCATTATACAAGGCAGAGTTCACCACGCCTCCTGCAACGGCTAAGGCCAGGCCAAACTTGCCAATGGACTCAAACACTTTGGCAGCCATGTCTCCTTCTGCTGGGCCTGCTCACACCTAAGTGGGTAAAAACAAAACAAACAAAACAATTCAGTCCCCAAATCCTCAGAGTCAAGCCCTCTCTGAGGCATCATATGTACCTGTCGAGTTGGCTATTTCTTCCCCCACTCTTGAGAGCTCTAAATTATCGACTGAAGGACATTTCACAAATAACACCCTGCAGCTTGTATAAGTGTATACTCAATTCCTCTGCGCTTCTTTCTTCTTTCTCTACTACTTAAGAAAAGGGGTCTGGGGTCCTTGGTTCAAAATGGGAAGGAGGCATGGGCTTGATACCCATAGAGAACTTAGCCCCACACCAAACACCCTCCCACTTCCTGGACAGTCAGGCCCCAGGACAGAGGCTGCGTGGCTGGTTCTGTGCAATTCTGGTTCAGAAAAGAATGTGATTCCAAGAACAAAATAACAATAATAGCTGACCTTTATACTAGGTAGTCTTCTAACAGCAATTTCCCTATTTAATCCTCACACCAACCCGTATGAAGCAGATAACTACAGATGAGGAAACTGAGGCACACAGAGGTGTTAAGTTACACCAGGAGCCTAAGATCACGCAGCTCTGAGGAGGGCTCCCAGGATTAGAACCTAGAGGTCTAATTCTAGAAGGCACATCTTAACTCCTCACCACGCGGCTTCTCAACATCGGGCGTTAAGAATGGCCTGTTATTATAGAAGCAGGTGCTAACATGACGTTCTGGGGTCAACATATCACGAGAAACAATCGGGCCAGAAAGGCCCTAAACAGCTGCACCCCGAGGGAGAGCCCTGGAACGGGTGGGGTTAGGGGGGGCTCAGGCGGGGTGGGCGGGAGCACGGCTGACCTCACTAGAATCTACTCCAGCACTTAACTTTGCCTCGCTCCGCCCCATTGTCCTCGTCCACTTCAGCCTCCCTACCTCCTCCCCAGACCTCAACGTCTCTACCTTCATCTCTCCCCGTGCACTTAAATCTTTCCTGAGACCAGGATGCCCAGTCCCGACCCCTCAGCTTTTCCATTCCTAAGAGCTTCTAGATTATTCCTCACTCTGGCCCCATACACACCTACCTCACTCTACGCAACCCCTGGCTCCTCCCGTGCTCACCCCCTTTCCCCTCCGACACGAGGCGCACCCACGCATGAACCCCGCCCGCCCAAACCTGGGGCTAATGGGAGTGCAGAAGGGGACTGCGGAGACGCCCGAACGCCGGCCGCAGCGCCTCCTCTCCATTCTCACCTGCTCCCTCTCTGACCTCCACATGAATTCCCCAGACAAACATAATGCGCGTGCGCCGGGCAGCTCCCCCTCTTCCCCGCCTTCCTTCCAAGATCCGTGCCTCCGATTGGTGAAGATGGGCGCTGTGCATTCTGGGAAGGGTGGCTTGCAGCCTTGCCCTAGTGCCCGGGCTCTTCGCAGATGAACTACAATTTCCAAAAAGCCATGCAGCGGCTGGCCCGCGCTGAAAAGCCTTTCTCTTTGGTGGTACTAAAGGCCCGGAGGTTGCCGCAAAGCCTTTTGGGTGCTGTAGTTTCTTGAGGGATAAACGCACGTGCCTGTCCTGAACAGATTTGGAGCCTGCTAGAAGGTGGGCGCTAAGGCCCTCAGAAGGAGAGGCTGGGCCTGCTGGCTGGTGGCAGAGAAGGGCAAGGGCAAGTTTAGGGCTGATGAAAGAGGGCGGGTGAGCACGCTGCAGAAAGTCGTGGTGAAGTAACTGGTGGGCTGAGAGATTGAAGGGCTGGCTTCTTTCCAAAGACCTATCTAGAAGCGACCTGAGTTGTGGTACCTTGATTGCCAGACCAGAGAGCGCCTTAGAGACCACCTGGACTAGATAATGAGACCCAGAGAGAGGAAGGGAGCCATTCAGGTTCATGCACCAATTTAAAAAGGGGTTGGGCTGAGCCTGGGTCCTGTGGACACATTTTTTTTGGTCTAAAAATGGTGGTTAATTTTCTATTGAATTTTATTCATTTATTTTTAATTAATTTTTATTGGAGTATGGTTGCTTTACAATGGTGTGTTAGCCTCCACTGCACAACAAAATGAATCAGCCATACACATACAGATATCCCCTCCCTTTTGGACTTCCTTCCCATTTAGGTTACCACAGTGCATTAGGTAGAGTTCCCTGTGCTATACAGTATGTTCCCATTAGTTGTCTATTTCATACATAGTATCAATAATGTATATGTGTCAATCCCAGTCTCCCGATTCCTCCCACCCCACCCCTTTCCCCCTTGGTATCCATACATTTGTTCTCTACTCTGTGTCTCTGCTTTGCAAATAAGATCATCTATACCGTTTTTCTAGATTTCACATATCCGCGTTGTTATACGATATTTGCTTTTCTCTTTCTGACTTCACTCTGTATGACACTCTCTAGGTCCACCCACGTCTCTACAATTTCATTCCTTTTTGTGGCTGAGTAATATCCCATTGTATATATGTACCACATCTTTATCCATTCCTCTGCTGATGGACGTTTAGGTTGCTTCCATGTTCTGGCTATTGTAAATAGTGCTGCTATGAACATTGGGGTGCATGTGTTTTTTTGAATTATGGTTTTCTCTGGGTATATGCCCAGTAGTGGGATTGTTAGGTCATATGGTAGTTCTATTTTTAGTTTTTTAAGGAACCGCCATACTGTTTTTCGTAGTGGCTGAATCAGTGTACATTCCTACCAACAGTGTATGAGGGTTCCCTTTTCTCCACACCCTCTCCAGCATTTATTGTTTGTAGATTTTTTGATGATGGTCATTCTGACTGGTGCAAGGTGACATTTCTTTTTTTTTTTTTTAAGTCTTATTTGGAGAAGTTGCAAGGATAGTACAGGGAACACATGTTTACTCAGATTCATCTATTGCTAACAATTTGCTCCATTTGGTTTTTTGATCTAAAACAATAAAACAGCAGGTTATTTTATCAGCAAATTGGGTTTATTTGGGAACAGCAAAGAATTGCAATTCTGGACATGTAATCTGTGGCAACCCACAGGCAAGTCTGCAGAACAAAGGAGAGGACCTTTTATAGTGGAGAAGGGGGAGTTGGGAGGCGCTGTCATAAACAAAGAGCTGGAGGAAACTGGGAATTTGAAAGTGTAGTGGCTTTTCATTGGCTGAGTTGTGACAGTCTCTTATTGGCTGGGCTGTTGCTGGGCAAGGAGAAATTCAGGCAAAGAGAAAATTTTCCTTCTTCCTGCTGGATAGTAAAGAAGTAACCTTCTTCCTGTTGGAGATGCAAAGCTATCTCTTCCTATTGGGTTTCTACCTGTTGGTACGGTGTGAGAGTTCCCCCTTCTGGCCTCCCGACTCAATTTAAAATGAGGTTTCTGTTTATTCATTTTCACATCTTACCATTTGTTCCCTTCTTCTCTCCCTCCCTCCCTCCTTCTCTCTCTTTGTATTTTCTAAGAATAAGCATATCCTTTTATATAACTTGAAAAAGTTTAATCTACCCTCTGCATTCCATTTTTTTCCGTTGACCTAATAATGAACTTTATAGCAGTCTTCTCACCCCCTCCCACCACCCAATACAGGAAGCAGTCTAAGATTAGGTACTATACTTATTTTTCATGTCTCTTTAGTCTCCTTTAATTTGTCCTCAGCCTTCCTTGCCTTTATTATATTAAAATAGAAAAAAAAAAGAATGTTTCTCATTTTGCGTTTGTCTGATATTCCCTCATAATTAGATTTGTTGTTCTGCATTCTTAGCTGGGGTAGCTAAGTGGTGTACGGACACTTAATTTTAATGAAACCAGGCCCATTTCTGGATTCTAGTATGATTGGATTCCTTCAACTTCTTTTTCCTGCATTCCTCTCCTTTCTGTCCCCCTTCTTTGTCTCCACTTGGTACCAGTGGGATGCCAAATGACCAGAGATATACGTGGCAGCACTCTTCAGGTGGTACGGGTTTGCCCTAACCGCCCACAGTCTTTTCCTCTGCCTACCAGAATGCAAGCTGTATGACAGCTGAATGTTTAGTCTGCTGTCTTCATTGTTCTAGTCCCAGAACATACAACAGTGCTTGGCACACAGTGGACACTCAATAAGTATTTGCTGAATGAATGAATAATGAAGGGCGTTGGAGTAGCTGGTTAGGCAGGCTGTGGCCAGGAAACGCAAGGCAGGATGCTCTGGAATCCTGTAAGAATAGCCTTAGTATTGTCTGCTCCTATTCTAATCTCACTAGCAGGAAT